ATAATTCAGTATCTTAAGGGTGTTGTCCAGAGAACACTCTGTTTTCTCTAGGAATGTAAAGAATGTTTCAAATTCTGACAATTTCAAATTTCACATACTCTCTTTTGAGCTCAGTACATCTTATTTTAAGTTCGAAATAGCTGGACTGAATACAGGACGGTGTTTCAAATGCAAGGCAAACTTTTCCAAGCTTTGAGCGCCAAACATTTCTACTTCAAATTTCAACAGTCTCAATGACAGCTCATTTCAGAACTGAAACAAAAGTTCTGCTCTCAAACAGGATATTTCAAATTCAGAATCTCTTTTTTCCAGTCTAGGATTCTTGAGCTGGACTCGGTGTTCAACTCTCATGAACTATATACATCCTATTAACTCAAGAACTCAAAAACTAAGTTAAAAAAATGTGAGAAGTCATTGTTAGGGGATGCCAGGTAGACTTCCCCGTCTAGCTTTCTAGATCTGAAACCTTCTCCCTTGCAAATATCCACTTGACTTCATTTACAGGGCCCCAAACCAAAGCTTGGCAGTAGGAGAACAATAGGATGATGCATTTATCCAGATATTCAGCCTTTTGGAATTATAAAGATCTGTATCAAGTTTTTGATTAGGGCTTGGAAATGAATTGGCAGCCAGTACGATTAAGATATTTGCCAGACCATATCAGTAGTTCTGAATGTAAAGCTAGTCTATGAACCTGTTTTGGATAGGTGCACACATTGTGCTGAGCTGGTTTGTTTTAAGGACAGTCTATACAGTAGAACAATCTATTGTGACCTGATTTCCAGATAACACTGGGCCATGAACCATGATTTATAAACTACAGTGACTGGGTCCATATATCATACTAACTTGAAATTGAATAACATGCATTACGTTTTGAAGTGATGTGTCAATCACTCTGGTACTCCCATCCCAGGAGCAGTAGCATTGCAACACCGAGACACTCATTTTTTATCATATGTTATGACATTACATACATGATGCAGCCTATGGACACCTCTGCCTAATAGTGATGAAGGTGATGTTACAAATACTGGCTCCATTATGCCCATAACTTGCACTCAAAACATATCTAGAAGGCTTAATGCAAAACTAAGAAGGATACAAAATGTTCTGAGTTTGAACCCTTTATCCAGGGTTCCAAGTTGCACTAAGCAATTCTAAACTTATCTGTAAGTGCCTTTTGTCATTATGTTCTTTACAGGGAAGTCTGGAAGTTGAGAGATCTGGAGTATGGGTAGAACAGTGGTTCTCAACCTGTGGGTCGGGACCCCATTTGGGGTCGATCGACCATTTCATGGGGGTCGCCAAGCAAGGCTGTCCGCCATTTTTTTTGTCCGCCATTTTTTTCTGCCATTTTTCCCCCTTTTCCGGCGGGTGCCTTACCTCCCTTGGGCTAGGCCAGCTGGTGGTCGGCCTGCTCGGTCTCTGCCGCTTTCCAGCTATGCCTCGGCCGGCGCAGGGGGCGGAACCACACATGCGCGGCGCTCCCGGGCAGGGAAAGTCCTTGACTTACGACCGGTTGGGTAGCCCTCGACTTACGACCGGTTTAGTCCTCGACTTACGACCGGTTTAGTCCTCGACTTACGACCGGTTTAGTCCTTGACTTACGACCGGTTGGGGTCGTGGCATTAAAAAGGTTGAGAACCACTGGGGTAGAACAAAACTTGTTGCTTCACACACATTCCCCAGCTTCCCTAGCTCCCCACCCTTACCCCTTTGGTGCTTGCCATACTTTTCTGAAAAGAACGTTTGAACTAAGGCTGTGAGTTCAGACTCTTGGATACGAAGGATAATCTTTGTTCTTTTTCAGCATGGTGAGAGATTTCTGTATGTGCATGTGTGTACACACATATATACATGAACAATAAGGGTGTGAAAACATTGGAATTTGAAATGCTGGAAGTCCAAATCAGTTGTTTGGAGGGTGTGTTTTGTTTCACATTTGAAATGTTCTCCGTACAGCAAACAAGCAAATATAATTGGTACCGCTGCTAGAGAACTGAATTTCATTATATAATAATAATAATAATAATAATAATAATAATAATAATAATAATAATAATAATAATAATAATAATAATAAT